TCTGACATGAATTCTTCATTAGTCTAAATGTCTCCGTTGCATGTTTCTCGCCTGCAGAGGGCAGTAATCCTCATCCTCGGTATATTTGACACTAAGCCACTTTGCAGCTGGCAGCTCAGACATTTATGAGGACTGGTAGTGATTTATGGCTTCTTTACTTTGACAATGAAGCAGCAATATTTCCAAATCAACTACAGTGAAAAGTAGCAACAAATGATTTAAACTGCTGAATCAATGCTGATCCCTGAACATTAGAGATGAGCTGCGATTCCACTAGCCATAAAATTGCGCAAATTCAAATTTCTAAAGTAAATTTGTTTAATGGAAACACGGCAATTTTGAAAAACGTTTTTGTGGTAGGATGAGGTGGTTATTCGTACATATCAAAATGGATATATGTCACAAAACTGCAATGGAAACGCTTTTTCCGCACCACAGGAGTAACATGATCAACACCTGGATGTTACTACTGGTGGAAACAATGAAGAAGACGACAAGTAGTAGGAGGATGATGGTTTGTTTTTTTCAGACAATGTGCAGCTGGCTCCAGCAGAGCTCTCACAGCATCACAGCTCATAAAAAGTTGTGTCATTCCAAAGTGTTGAATCCATTACTTCTCTAAAATCATCAACTATATTTTCCCCAAAATGCTGGATACATAGCTGCTCCCAAGTGAGGTGGGGGTGGAAGGGGGGGCTTATCGCTCCAACACCTGAATAAGGCCCTGAGGGATGATGAGCGCTAGCGCCACATCTTAAATATGTAACCATTTACATCCATCGCTGCCATAATTTGTGATAACTTCATGCATATTTACTCATTTACAAAGCAATAAGTTTACTCATGTAATTTTTATTTTATTTCTTATTTAATGGAAACACCGCAATTGTGAAATTGTGTTTTTTCGACACCAGCAGAATATAGACAAATATGTGTGCACATTTGTACTAAGAAACACAGCTACTGATGAGCTGGGAATACATTATCCTCATGTTTCACTGTGAGGAATTCATAAATTGAATGAGAATAGTTTTTATCAAATATGTTATGATGGCTCATTACCAAAACATCAGAGGAACTTTAAGATAAAACTATGGTGAAATGTTATTTTCCTACTTTCAACTAGAAGTAGAAAACATTGCTGTATTCAAAAACAATTTCTAAAACCAAACAAAATCATCAAAGCGAATGTGGGAAACCATTACATTCAGCAAGCTTCCTTAAGACAGCAGCTAGTGTGCATAGACCAAATTAGAGCATGTGTCCTCCAGTGGAAGTCTATTTCCATCCCCCTGACAGATACAGACCACACCAGGCCTGTGTAACTGCTGCTAGAGCGCTTTGCAAAGGAGGAGGTCTGAAATTGATGACCTAATACAGTCTTACCCCAATACTGAGGACGATTAATCGTGGCTCGCCTAAAGATGTCTCTGTAAAAATCTCCATCTCGTCTAACAGAGGATGCCAGCTCCGTCCGTTGAAGTCACATTGCGAGTACTGCGCGCTCGCCGGGAGAAGAGCTTCGGCTCCTAATTCTCCTCATTAATCACCTGTCTGCCGAACATCCTCCGGAGAAAAGCGCTGCAGTTCTTTCAAAGTAATTACAGCTCTTGAAAGAGCGCCGGGTGCAACAATTGCTCATAGGTAGCCATCTTCTTCCTCCTGTGCCCTTCCCTTTTCAGTCTCACTCATGGAGCAACGGTTCCTGTGTTCTCTGAAGGAATCGTCTTTAGCAATAACTGCTCAGCGGCTTCTGCTTCAGTCTGTTTTTAAGAGGTTTGCTGGCCTCACATCCATTTTCATCTGTTGTGGGATAAATAAATTATAGCCTCTAAAAATCAATGCCCAGGCTGTGATGTTGTTCTGTGGGGTTGGCGCTTGCCACCATGTTACATTTTTGCCAGCAGGGCTCACACTGAGGCAGTCATTGGAGATGTTCCTGATGTTGATTTGTTTTGTTCATTTGTAGAACGGTTCTCCAGACAACATACTGGTCCAAAGGTACACACAGGTTTAGATTTCAAAATGTTCTGGGTTTTTTTGTATGATTTATTGTCCTCTTATGCAAAGTGAACTTGCCACAGTGAGACATGTTGCTTCTGATTCATATAAGGGCCAGTTTTGTTTCCGTAGTATAAATTATATTCCACATATAGAGTCAAGCCTCCTATCTCTTCAAGACAAAAATGACATTTTTGCTTCCACTTAAAAAAAAAGCACCGACCTTTGATTATCTGGGCTATCCATGACTGTCTCTGTCTGTCTTTTCAGTGTGTCTCACTGTGTGAAAGCCCGTCCTGTCATGTGTGGTGGTTGAGAGGTGGTGAGGATGAACGCAGGAGACCCAGATGAAGATGATGATGATGAATTTTAATGATGAGTGTAGCCCAAAAACAGTCCAGACAGGCAGCATGGCAGCAACAATAGCACACAGCTCCTAACCTGTAGCAACTAACAAGGGGACTGAATACAGGAGCTAAGGCTAACCAGGACTTTAAACAGTACAACTGGCGAGCTAGACGTAAGACGTACGACATTTGACGAGGATCCGACCAGAGACAAAGACAACAGGTGGACTTAAATACACAGGGAGGGTAATCAAGGAATGAGACACACCTGGAAAGCAATCAACGGGAAAGACGCAGAGATAGACTCACAAGAAGGAAACTGAACACAGAAAACCCTAAAAATAAATACACAGAAACACGGTCTGCCTCTGATTTGTTTGCAACAATCATCAGCCTTTCTGTCATGGTTTTCACCACCTTAACTCCCAGTCAGATGAAGGTATCTTCATGTGTGTCTTAACACAGTATTTCACATCCACGTTATTGTCAGTAACTGTATTGACATTGTCATGACAGAAAAAGTAATTAATTACATTACCCTCTACTGTTATGTGGTTCATATTAACGCCGTTTTTCCCATCATTGCTCGTTAGTGACCTCTCCGATGCCCGTCAGTTTAATTGTTTTAATTACAACTTATGAGCCTCATACTTCAAGTCCAATTTTCAAAACTGAAGAAGCCTCCTGGGTGAGAGGTGAAGTGTCTTCAAGATAACAGCAGAAGTCCAGCTGCCTTCATTTAAAACTCAAGACATCCTGGATACCTGAGAATCTGCATTGTCTTTTGGCAAATATTTCTCATCATATCCATTATATAGTGTCTGACCACCACCAACAGGCAACATGGGGGAAGTGTCTTGTCCAAGGACACAATGACAGAGGCAGAAAGAGTGGGGGATTCAAATTTATTCCTTGTAGTGCTGAGCAATAACTATTTCCAAAGGGCCACAAAGGCAGCTGTGACTCTTGTTGAGCAGCCCCATGTGTTTGTGAATGTTGGGTCATCCTGGTCCTGGTTCTGCTGGATGTCTTATTCTGTTAAAACAGAGTCATTTATGTCTACTGTGACCAGGCGCATGGCGAAGGAGGAGGGACACAACTCATTACTTCATTCAATCAGCAGGGCTTCCTGAGATCAATAACTGATATGGTGGTAAAAACAAGTATGATCTGATTATATAACTCTGCATACAAACTGGATCTTTCTGTCTTAGGAAAATATAAATTGAACAGTTTTATATTTATATATATATATATATATATATATATATATATAGTCCAGAAATATGCAGTTCTACACACAGCCAAGATACTGCGCAGAACCCTCAAGCTCCCAGGCCTCTGGTAGAGGACCCGAGCTCAGAGGATGAAAGAGACCACCCACGGAGGGTGAGAGGGGAATTTTTTTTTTTTTATATATATATATATAGATATTTGATGAAGAGCTATAAATGTGATTTTTATTCTTCTTCTAGCAACCCAACAATAAAATGTTACTGCCACACTGCAAATTTCACAGTTATTTAGTACACTGTAGTTATTTTTCTCATAATACATGTCAATGACCATTTCCATTTCCAGTTGTAATTTCTAAGATCAGGTTGATTGTTTCTACAACCTAAGCAGAAACCTTGTAAATAAATACTGAGCCTAAGGCTTGTTATTCTGCATCTCTCTCTCTCTCTCTCTCTCTCTCTCTCTCCTGTGTTTACTGATGCACAGCCTGCTAACAATGAGACTCTATATGGGAACTGCATGAGACAGCTAATAGCTACTGAAATCCATAAAGTCACCTTCAAAATATATTTTTTTCTTTTTTTCAAAATTAATGACATCTACTTGGACTTGCATGCAGAGTTCACACTTAAGGCGTGTTTGATCTTGTGCCAGTCAAGGTCATCTAAAGAGCCAAATGTCACATACAGGTTGTAAATTATGAATGGATGAATGAAATAAAATAAAAATACCTGAAAACTTATAAGTTCATAGAGTGGTTTATATATTTTTGCTTAAGTATTCTTGCCACATATATAATTTTCTTTTTTTTTCAGTCTGGGGGGATTAGCTAATTAGCTTGGGTCCAGGACAAGCTTCTTCTTTATTTTTAATATTTCACATTAATAGAATACATTAAGCATAAATGGTATAATTAACAGCATAATAGTGCAAGGAAAAATGTTAAACTGAAATTGTTAAACTGTGGTAAATTTTACTCAGTCTGTGCACACCACAAACATCTCCTTCCTGTTTCAGACATTTTGTCACATGCTTCCTTGGGCAATGTCACTGTTCCAGAAGATGCTGCAGAAGCATAAACATAATTTAGACTTCACACAAAGCAGTCTGTTTTACCATTTTATCTTAGTTTAAACTAATCCTTTTCATATTTTCAATTTGCAAACACATTTGGGAGCTGGCTTTTAATTTCCCCACAGAAGCACTCAAAGACTAAAAATAAAGCCGAAACAGTGGGAAGAGTGGCATTTACTTTTAAAAGGCAGGGCAGCGGCGACGCAGTCACTCCGTGTAGGAACTGTGTGCTGATGTCGCTTTGCAACATTTATAAGCCTCAGCAGATAGATGATGCCTTTTCAGAAAGCTGTCGTAGGAATCCCTTCAGTGGTTTTAGGCATGCATAAAACCCATCCTCAGCCTGTACTCAACCACTGTCGCTTTGCTAATGCTCTCTCCCTCTTTGTGTTCGCAGATGGAGATGATACCAGAGCCCGATCCTGATGACGAGGGGACCAAAATAAGTGTGAGTTGAAGAACACGTCATTCACGCCACGATGCAAACCCCCCACTTTCCCAACATGTCGCCATTGTAAGCCGAGTTGGCAGAGATCCACTCTGAGCCAACACAACAGCAGCTGATTTCCTTGAATAATACACCTTCCATCAGAGAATGGAGCTAATCAGCAAAATCAGTGGCAGCGTGTTATTACTGTCAGAGTGGTTCCCTTCCTGCGCTCACACACACCAGCAACAGTTCCGCCTCTTTCCTCTGCCATGCTGCATAGGCCTTCTGTGCCCAGAGCAGCACACAGCCGACCGGTACAAGATCGTCACAGATGTGTGTGTTACAACGTAACAGTTTACAGATGCTGCTAATATGGAAATGTTATCATCTCCTCGTGTTTTGGAGGTCTTCTTCCTTCCAATTTGACTGTTTCAGCAGCAAACTATAGTCCTTCTTTGGTGATTACAACCAGGACATAGTTACTGTTTTCCTTATAAGGTCATACATAAATATGTTATTCTGTAGCTGAACATTCCAGCTTTGTGAAACATTGCCTTGCAAAAATTCTCCCACCACCTAAACTTAACCACTTTTTGTCATGTTTACAATCTGAAACCACAGTGTATTAGTGAAACAGAGCACCAGAAGACATCACATAATCGTAACCTTAAAGGAAAACCATCAATTTTTTTGCATAGAAATCTGAAAATGGGCTGCATTCTCTCAGCAACTTATAGGGTCACGCTTCCATATATTGAGCAATTAACATCTGAGCAAGAGGAATGAGGACAACGTCCCTCAAATGTTGATCTTCTGGTAAAAGGTTTGGTCAAGATCTGGTGAAAATGGCTTTTTACCAGCCATCAAAATTTGCTGATAAAATGGCGTGGCCCTACTCCCTACTGGGTTATTTACAGTGCACACAATATCTGGTAATCTTCATCAAACTGGTGTATTACATGTTACGGCCAAACATTTATGGTTGAGTCAAATCAAATCTGAGCGTTTAAATCTTCAAGCAATCATTTCTCAACAGCCGAAAGTTCAGAATCTCAGCTTCCTACACTACATTTTCATTTGAATATTCAAGATATGGTAGGCAGAACAGTCTGAAGACAAGGTTTCCAAAGGTGATTCAGAAATCTGCAACATGTCAAGAAGATGCTGCGATGTTAATTTGGTGCCACAGCAAAGAACCATAAAAAGATAAAAATAGAAGCATATTTCCACAGTCTTTGATCAGATTGAGCTTCATACAGTATAAATCTCAATCCAGTTCAAAATTTATGGTGGGAAAAAAATGGATGAAAAGATTCCATCCCACAAAACTGACCTGTGTTTTTATTAGTCATGGCTCAAAGAGTTGAAGCTGTCAGAGAAGCCAGAGGAGGTGAACTGCTAATTGGGATGTTTGAGGTTTTTTTCAATAGCAGGAACTTCACATCTTTTGCCAGGGGGTGTAAATTGCTGAAAGGGGAAAATGTATTATTTACTTGTTGTAGCAAAAGTTTTCTAGTTTGCATTACCAATAAATCATCCAGGTGTCATGGTAAAAAAAAAAAAAAGAACCTCAACTGAATAATAACAACCAGGGTTCCGTTCTAAAAGTTTCTTACACTCATTAAACCTGATTGGTTTAGCACCATGAGGTGATTCAACTGAAAATCTGGAACATTTTTCATGTTTCTATTGAAGACAAACATTAAAACCCAGATTGTTTTTCACATACTTGCTTGATTTAAAGCATCACAGCTCTGCTGATTATTTTTAATAGCTTTCATTAACTGAAATAAGGTTTTAATGAGGCAGAAAGATAAACATACTGTTTGTGGTCCTGTGCAAGAGCAGAGCAGAACTTTTGCATTTCACAGTTTTCTACAGTGAGTCTGTGTAGAACCCAAAGTTCTTCTGTGCAGAGCTCTTTCAATTCACACGTCTGTCCAGACAGAAATTATAAAAATAGCCCAGGGCTTTGGTAGAAAAAGGGCCTTTTCACAGTCACCATGTGAAGCTTGCAAGGTTCAAACCGTTGTCTTAATGAAGCCTGACGGTATGGAGGTGTTCCTGTGTGAACAGTTTCTGTTTAATTCAGCTGTACAGAGCCTCAACAGAGCCTTTTAACGCTGCTACATTTCATTTGAATATGAATCTCTGTGTCTAAGACAATTTGTCTGATGTCTGATTTGTCAGACATCAGACACTAGTTTAAGGTGTAGTAATGATACCTTAAATTAGGGAGTTCAAAGTGCGGACCCCAAAATTAGACAGTAAGAAAGCCGGTGAAACAGTTCTGTTTTATCCAAGCAATCTACAATAATTTTATCTCCAGTTTCTAATATAAGTAGAAAGTTCTTGTTGTCATTGACTTTACAGAGTAAAAGAAAATATAGTTTCCTGTGATTAGGAGAACCTCAGCCTTTTGTAATATAGTACAGCTAAAACAGAATAAAAACCCTAAATAAGTCTTAAGATCTTGGAATAGTATATATATATATATATATATATATATATATATATATATATATATATATATATATATATATATATATATATATACCAACCTGTGTCATTATTTATTTAAAAATGTATGCAACGGACGTAATGTGTATAAAACTAAGTCCACTCTTGGCACTTTCATTAATTAAGAGAGAAAGTAGCAGCCAAATAATTCTTCCCCTGAAAATGATTCTCTTACTTATAATTAGCCAGAGTGGCTACTTCTGTTTGAAGGAGTGATGCTGGCACTTTGCATAATGCCAAGGAGTAAAGGCATCAGCATTTGCCTTAGAAAGGGTTACACAGATTATAAGAGCCACCACAATGTGGACCATAACCTCTTGGAATGTCTCTGAATCATGGCAGGTTGTCAAGCTAACCTGAGGCTCCCAACACTGGCTGATCAGTGTTTCTCTGTGATTTTGATCCGGTCATGATGATCAGAGAAACATTTGTCCATACACTTGCAGAACTCACTAATGTGAAAATGATGCTATGTGGTGTCTGCATTTTTACTTCAAATTGTTGACAACCCATCCATGCAGGGCATATGGTCTCACTGTGATGGATTTCTGCTGACAGATTGTCCACCCTACTGTAGTCTGCATTGAAAATAATAAAAGACCATTACCTGTTGTTTTGTGAGAACTCATATTCTCAGGGAACTCCCTCATACGTAATGGGTAATCCACTGCTTCCTATAACACCCTGAAGAATGACCAAAAACCAGCAAAGGACACCCATGACTGAATTGGCCATTGCACCATAATCTTAGGGCATATTCAGATCAGCTCTGTTTATTCTGGTCTTTTCAAACTCTTGTTCATTTGCCTAGAGTCCTGTTTGCTTGGGGATATGCGAATGCGTAATCAAACTCTGACCTGGACCAAAATAGCAAACGCTGCTTCACCTACAAACCTAAGTGTTGATTCGGTTGAAGTGAACTCTGGTGCAGTTTGAATGCATATGAAAACTGGGGGTCCATTGGAGTATCTTCCCACTCCAGGTTATGACAGTAGTCTCTTTCAATCTTTCTAACAGACAGTGAAGGTCCAGGGCAACGACATCTCACACAAGCTGCAGATCTCCAGAGTCAGCAAGAACGACGAAGGACTCTATGAGTGCCGGGTGACCCGAGCCAACTACGGAGAGATTGTGGAGTACAAAGCCCAAGCCTGGCTTAGGGTCAACGCCACAGCCAGGCCTCGACGGCCACTGCCACCCGCCAAGAAGAGCTCCCCACTGCACTTGACAGACAAGAAGCCAAGAAAGTCCACCTCCCCTCTGAGCCAAGACAACATGAGTTCAGACCAGAGGGTGGCCTCCACGTCCTCCTCCCACACATCCTCCAACACAGCTAAACGCTACCCCAGCTCAGGTAAGCACTCGGTGAAGTCCTGGTTCAACTCTGCAACCTGATGCATTTCATTGTATTTTAAAGCATCAAACGCTGGCGGTTCATGGAAATGACTTATAAAGGCTTGTTTGTTTTTGTCTTCATTTAGCCTTAAAATACATGTTGAAAATTAGACATTGAATCAATTTTTTATACTGTCTAAATTTATTTCAAACAGTTATGCTGAAAGTCATTCTTGGCTATCCCAGTAGATCAATCTTCTTTCTCCAGAGTCAGACATCCTTTGGCATCTTTTTTGTGGACATTGATTAGACAGAAGGGAACACCATCTTTTCTGTGCCTCTTTCACAAAACATTTTTGTCACAAACCAGCAAAAACAAGCCGACTCTCAGCCGCCTTTGGCTGTTCATAAATCTTAAGTGGAGGGCTTTGTTTTCCAATATAAATCCAACTGCACATAAACTCTGTACTGGAGGTCTCCCAATATCAAAACAACGGCACACAAATTGTTTTGTTGCTTCAAATTTAAATATACATCTCAGCCTCTTACTCTTGATTTTCTTTTAAGTCATGTTAACGCTTTTAAATCCTGACTGATCGCACAAAATATGTCATCTCCATGTCACTCCCTTCACCTGCAAAGCCTGCTTACCTCTACATGAGCCAGCTGATGCACAGCACTGACTAAACCGCTTGAGTTAGGATCTAACAGAGGGGGGGGCGACTTCACCACCTCTTTCACCATAGCAGTCCTTCATAAGTCCTTCTTTATGCAATGACAATAAAATAAGTCTAAGTCTATAAGGTACGAAGACTGCAAAAAATGCCAAAAAAAATATTCATTGTTAAGCAACAACAATTTGATTTATAATTGGTTTAATTAACTAACTGAAATATACAAGAAATGCCAACAGGACATACAGTAGCCTAGTGTTCAGTGTCTGACATTTTTTAGACAAAATAATTTGTCTTACAGAGTTGTGAGATGGAGAAACATAGGTTGAATAGATTCTTTCAAATTCTACTGTCTTATTTTTTTGTTCTGTTACCTAAAGGTTTGTCCTTTGTTAGATGCTTTCTGTCTGAAACTCCAGTTCTGGAGTTTCTGGTTGCAGTAACCCTTAAAACACAAATGATACATATGTTATTATTAGTAGTACAGAGTAGTTTATGCTCTTATGTTAGTGTGAATGTCAGTGCACAGATAACTTGGTTATACATGCCCATCTTGGTATGTACAGTGTTAGAAGTGAGCCTCTTGTATTAAAGCAGCAGTCAGCATATGGCAGAGTCACTGAACAGCAGTTTATTCAATGACTGAAACCAAATGTCTGTCCAATGCCACAGCTGAAGACCCACAAACCCATAGAGCAGAAATCCATGTCCATTAAGATGGTCACTGTTGCTCAGTGGAGTATGGATCTGACATCTGTTTTTGTACAATCTTTCCAGTGTTGCACCTTTTCTAGCTAATTGTACTTGTTGTGGCTATTCAGAGATGTGTACCAAATCCTCATGATGACACAGACGTAACCGAAGAAAACTCCTGGCTGCATAGAGTTGCTTTTTTTACATGTACATTGCTGTGAACAGATATATTCTACTTATTTGTTTTTGTCTTTTGGCTCATTGGACAAATATCAGAATCAGATAAACATAACCTGAATAAATACAAACTTTTTTGTTGTTTGTTTGTTTGTTTGTTTGTTTGTTTGTTTGTTTATGAGTTCCATGTGATTCTGAATTATTTAGTTTATTTATTTTTTTTAAGGTGGCTTTGGAATAATTTTCAGAAACCATGAACTCCTGGGAAGGTGTGTCACTGTTCCATGTGTTTCACATTCTTTAGCTTGTAGCTCATGAATAGTCTCTTGATTCTTCCAGTCTGACCTGCGTGACCTGGATAATTCATGGTCTAACAAGAGTGGATTGCTTTTTAACATCGAGCTATTTTGGTTGAAAGAACCTTCTTTCGTTCAGTTAAAAGACTCATCATTCCTATCACTCTTCAAAGCTCTACTTTGTATTTCCTACAAGTTTTCTTTGTCTTTACCACACTGCAACAGAGGAAATGTGTAAGGGTGGCGATACCTATGCATGGGAGAATAAGTGAAATATCAGATACTTAAATTCAACCATCATTCCATAAACTTATGGTTCCATCTGAGTTCCATGCCCATTTAAAGTTTTAACTGATTGTGTCAAAGAAACCAACCAACCTCCTCCTCCATCTTGAGTCTCTATGGGATTCAGGTTTGCTGATTGTTCAGCTTTAAATTAATCTGCTCCCTCTCGGTTATTCCACATATTTCTAAGATCTGTTCCTATTCTAAATTCATTGCCTACTTCACCTCTCCTCCCTTGATGTTGGTGAAGAGTCTTTGCTGTTACTGTCTGAGGCAGTAAATGACCGGGCCAGCTGTGATTAATACATGTTTACCCTCAATAAATAAATGAAAATTTCCCCCAGTGCTTTTTAACACAGACTGATTGCATTCATTGCTGTTGTAACCAACCTCATTGCTTTATATCTTCTTTATGCTGGAATATAGAATACTGGAGGGTTAAAAATGAGTTTCAGCTCAGGACTATGTGAAGAACAGTGCGTTTCGACTGATTCACAGTTATTGGGTTTGATGAAAGAACCTGTGAAGTCTTAAGGTCTGCATGCTCTCTACATGCAGATATATCCACAAACATTCCACTGCTTTCACTGCTTGCAACATCAATGTTAGCTTTATCCAAATTATTATTAGTAGTACATGATGCAACAAATTATTATTAAACATGATGAATGTAAATGTTCACGTCTGTAAAATGGAAAAACAGATGATCAGGTCAGTGCTGCCCCCTGTGGAGCCTTGTGGATTCTACATGTAACAGAAATGGTTGGAAAATATGAGGAAAACAAATACTGCTCCAAGGTAGACTATATAGAATCCATTAGTTAGGAATCCCAGCTAATGTAGGCTGTTTCGGAGGCATTATATATAAACCATTAATTAACTCTCAAAGGTACATTTTAAATAGTCTTTATGATACATAATACACAGCCCTATCTGCAGTCATTTCTGTGGTTTAATTGTACAGTTTGCATTAGCCTTTTTCTTCATATACATTATAAATGCTGTTTTTGAATAGATTGTGAAAAAATATATCCCTAGCCTTAAAATAAAACTTATTTATGAGCAAGATGTATGTCTTCTTTGAAAAGGAGACCTTTCACATTTATTACATGACCTTTAAACAGTTGACACAGATGTGACAGAGTCATGATATGGCATCAACCTGAGGAAGTCAGTTATCTCAAAATAGCTATTTCTAACTTTGTGGTTAAATGATTCATTTTTATGCCAGAAAAAGTCGGCTAATAGGTTTCAATATTGGTTAAATTGAACTAAATTAAATCAGGTTCTTTCTAAAGAACCTGTTAATATGTTACCTGTAGTAGACAATTTTTATTATTTTTGATTTTGGATAAATTCATATTAGTTTCTTTAGTGTGCTAAAGGTAACAGCTAGTTCAGACTGGCCAAAGAGCAAAGCAGACCTCTGTTTCTCTATAACAAATCCAATCTCATAAACCTCAGACTGGTTTGCTATATTTTGAGCTTTAAAACTGTCAGCATGTTTGGTAGTTATTTACAAAGGAGCAGATGATTATTTACACAGAAAATGGAGATAGAGCTGCGTGCCTCCAAGAGTTAGGACGCAGGTCTGTGATTTAGACTTGACTTGGACTAAAGCCACAGAAACACTTCAGCCTTGATTTAGACTTTCCCTCAACAGGGGCGCAGCTACGTATTTTCTGGGATGCATTATGACGCATTATAGTGTGGTTGATCATATCATTTACACATGCACAAACAGCTGTTACAGAATACTGTGTAGAAATCATTTTTCCGCCATCACTTTGGCGCCCCCTGTAGTGCAGTGCCTCTTTGCTCCACTGAGTCTCCTTAGATTTGAGGTTCGACTCTGACTTAAGTCTCATAAATAGACTTTATTTCATGTAATGAGCCGAAAATAAGTCAACGAGTGGAGATCATTTGAGTAAATGATCTCTAGTGTAAACAGTTGTTTACACTAGATTAATGAATTATTGGTAATGTTACACACAGAACACATGGCTCTCTGCAGAGATGGGTAGAGTACCCAAGAATTGTAGCACTAACTTACTTGAGCGGTTCAGAAACCCACTCAAAGAAAGTATTTGGTAAAAAAAAAATCTACTCAAGTACTCTATTCATTAAATATTTAAAAAATTACACCAAAGTATAAAATTAAGTGGAAATTTTGTTATGTTATTAACCAAAATTAAAACAAAATCAGTCAAAATAACATTTTTCTGAATCAGTTTATTTCAATAAAATAAACTTCTGAAACTTTATCAAAAACTGCAGGCGTGTGTCTGTCTGGTGGATTTTTTTGGTTAAAACATGTTTGTTTTTCATTCAGTGGCTAGAAAATCCAGAAATGTTACTCAAGTAAGAGCAGAAATACTTTATAATAAAATTACTCATGTAAAAGTACAAATGCAATGTAGCAAAACATACTCCAAGAAGGACTTTTTTTTTCAAAGTAGTTATTTTCATAAATGTAATTGAGTAAAAGTAACAAGTTACTACCTAAGTCTGGATTTCTGTAATATTTGTCAGTAAAATTAGTTCATGAACGCCTTAAAGTTTGTATGTTTTTATTCTTTGATGGTCAGAAATTAGATCTGACATGTGAGGCACATAATCAGCAGTTGAAGGGTATGTTTGATTTATTAGCCATGACAGTTTGGAAACTGTTGTTTCATGATGCCTCTCAAACTGAACCTTCTCTTGCTGCTAAGTTAGCATTATTACATACACTTTTAATTCTTCAAAATACAAGCAATTCTTCATTTGAATCATTTAAAGAGTTTACATTGGCTGGTTTTAACTTAATCCTACAATTGTTCTTTGAACATAAATGCATATTTAACTTTATGTGGCTTGTGAAATGGTAAAGTGCAGAGCCGACAAGTTTTGGA